ACCCCCGGGCGACGAATAGAATTTTGGTTTATTGCAGGGTCATCGGCACCCGGGCATCCGGTAGCCCCCGCGCAGACGTGTGTTACCGCAATACACAATGCGAACATAATATTATGTTTTGTATACACACACAAATAGATGACGAAGAAGAAGCAAAGAAAATTGTAATATGCAGCAGCCGTTGATTGGCAACCGGTTTCTCATGGATCTAATCACGTGCATGCGCCACCGCCAGCCGTTGTCGTCGTAATGTGTATCCATCGCACGAGAAATAATAATCGCTCCACGACGGTGCGGCAAATCGAAATCGAACGAAACTCATTGTCCGCCGGAGTCCCTATTGTGTCCACCCGATAGAGATGAATTCCGTCCCCGAGGCGAATTACTCGCTAATTAAACCCGACGCGAACGCCACTATTCATACATGGCGTATATATTGCATGTAGAAAATTCAAGATGAATGAACTGACGATGAACGCGTACGAAAAATATAGACACGCTGCACATTTTCAACACACTTGGTCCAGCAGACTGTAAGCGTCAAATAGGTATAAGTAATAAATAGATACCACCTATATATTTTTCGTGAGCGTAGAACATAATAATATAATAGTCGTATTATTTATTATATATCGTATAGTGACGCGTGTGTAATACACTGCATCGAGAAACATTCCGGACGTAAATCGGAAGCCAGACGAAAAGTCGTTAGCGCCAGATCTCGCGCACTGTGAGTTCCGGTGAATGTTTGCGCGTACTCATGTATATTGTATAGGTATACGATATTAACAGACAAAGAGCTGCAACATGCACGGAAGAATTTTTCAATCCGTCTACCTCGATCGTATCGAATCTTTATGCGTTATATAATTATAATAATGGGCAGACTTCCGAGCATTTTTTCGCTAGAATTATTCCAAAATTCCGTCAAAAACTGACATAACACCATATTTTATACTACACCAGCTAAACATAATTTTGTTTTTCATAGTCCCATTAATAGAATTTTACATAACAGTAACGAACATTTATCCAACTTTGATTTTGATTTTTGTGATGATAGTTGTAAGTTAAAAAATTGTTATTTGTTCATTAGCTTATACTGTATATTATTCCTAACCTATTATATGCATCTTTTACACTCTACGCTAACGGGCGTTACTATCAATAAATCAATTAATAAATGAAATATTTTGTAATAAATTATATTGTTTATTACTTTAAACTATTGTATAAAAAGGAACGGAGTGAAAAAGACAGGGTAAACTGAAAATAATTGTATTAAATACGCGGTAAGATAATATTATATAATTGTAATTTGTTAAGTAAACCAACATTTATATTTGATGAATAATGTATATTTTCAGTACTTGCACCACACATTTAAATTGCAGTTACACATTTATTCGGAATGTATTTTTATTTTTAAAATGACAATTACATGCAATTCGCATTGCCAATAACGTATTTAATTCAACTACCTATTACAAAAAAGTATATTTTGGATAATTAAATATCAATAAATATGTGTATGATGCCCCTTATTCACATATCTTTATGTCTTATGGCTATATCACTAAAATAATTCATGCTAATAAAATCATAGTAAAAATATATGGAAAAGAATTATTTTTTAAATTAATATCATTACCTAACACCCAATTATTATGTTCACGATACTATAAACATTTAATAAACAATTTACAAGTGACGCACGATTGCACATAAAAATTAAATTAAAAAGTAATTAATAATTATCAATAAATATGTATACCTGATGTATGAGTATTATAATAATATAATATAAAATATATGCTAATTTTACGGTTTAAAAATGTGTTTGAATTTAGTATAATTTAGTATAGATAAATATAAATATATATACATGTAAGCTTATATAACAAATGTATTACTATTAACTATACGTGGAAAAGGCCAAGCGCATTATCAAACTTGGCCAACAGGCTTGTTGAAACTTATAATAAGCCCATTGGTAATACTGTAATGGTATAATATATTATAGTTATAGGTACTCAGATAATGATGCATCAGATGACTGTTGCGCGTGTCGGCTACTTAACCGTGATGATGAATTGTAAATGATGATGTACATTATATTAAACCTTAAAAACGTTATTATTTTTTCAAAATCTTTATAATTTTAATTCAAATCTATCCCAGAAACATATAACGTATATTTTACTGGTTTTTATATAAAGACCGTAATTGTCGATATCTAAACGATAAAGTAAAAACAACTGTGAAGATAGGATATATATATATATATATATATATATATATGTGTATGTATGTGGAAACAAACTATTAAAATAATGAGTGATTAAGAGGATAAGTGGATATTATGCCTCAAGGTGCCCGCCTCCCTTTTTATAAACATATTATAATATTATCATAAATTATAAATGTATATTTTAAGTATTATAAATGTCAACTTTAAATTGACAGTAGGTTTATCATTACATTTAAAATTTTAATACTGACCAAATCAATTTTTTATTTTAAATTGTATGTTATATCTTCGTTTAATATTAATAACTAATAAGTAATAACTAATAACCAATACTTACAGTTTTTACAATATTTTGAAAATAGTTTACGAATGAGGGATATAATACACTATTTTACTAGCTATGAGTATTATATTATATTATTAAATATTAAATAAAAATTCATTTCTTTGAATGGGAATTTGTATTATATTATCATTTTTTAAAAAAACCCTTTAACTTATAATATTATAAATTAAAAAATTATTTGATAAAAATACGGAATTAAAGTCCAAAATACTAATCTTAATATTTCAATGTAAGAGCCGAATACATATATGATGATACAGCTGATTTAATTTGAATCAGGATTTTAATTTACAAATATTATTTAAAATTGTTGTTAGGAATAATAAGTTCTTAGCTGTAGGTATTATATTATCGAAATCTAATCTTAATTTATATGGACCAAATGTCATAACACAAAATATATAATTTAAATTTATATTCATACAATTTTGGAGTGTATACTGTATTATTGCAAATATGATTTCGGATGAATATGTTTTTTATATATTTTATTAAAATAAATTGTAATGATTTTTGTAGAATAATCGTTATAAAACTCAATCATACCTAAACAAATATGAGTAAATCGTGTATATCGCTATTAAAATATTTGTTTTAGTTTAAATATCACAAATACATTATAAGTTATAACTAAACTACCAACCAAATCTAAATTAATATCAGTTTCAAATAAACAAATTTTGAAGTAATTTTCCATTAGCTTAATCACATGTTAGTATAATTTATTAATTTAACTATGATATCGGGATAATAATTAGGTACTAATCAGTATTGTAATTTGCAACGAAGTACCAAATGCAGGAGTAAGAAAACGTACGGATCGGATACCAGTTGGTTCTTGTAAGTAAAATTATGAAGGTATTATCTACCTATTGCTGTATAATGGCACATCAATTGAATTTTCGACAAATTGCAAATACTAAATTATGAGGTTAAATTATTTAAAAGCAAATTGAAAACAAAACGTGATTATTCAACATTATAATGTATATTAATAATTTAAAAATTAAAATTGTGTAATTGAAATAAAAAAATTGTATAAGTCAAAAATTACTAAATTACACATAAGTGCTTATTTCATTATGAATTATAATGGTTTAGTTGATACATATATATAAATGCTTTTATAACATATACAATGGGTTTTTAGAGATTAAGCTTCCCACCCCGGAACCAAAAAAAGATAACTACCATTATATAAATAATATATTATGTATTAAAATTCAATAACAAAAGAATATCAAACTTCTGAAAATCTATTAATAATTAATTTTCAAACTACACAAAAATTAATAATACCTAAAGGTTTGACTATTATTGAACTTAACGCTTTCATATTCCAATAATGGCAAATTTTAATATAATATCAATCAATATTACACAGTTACGTGGTCGATTCATTGTACAATACTAATTAGCAATTAGTCAAGAAAAATTATGATTTATCATAATAATTATCATATAATTATCACATCAAATGCAAATGGTTTATTTTACATAATAAAATTAACAAAAAAATAAAATAATAAACAATCAGAATTTTATTATATTTGTTATTAAAACCTATAACTTATAAGTACCTAGAAGATAAAAGTACGTATCAAAGTAAATAATAGTTTATCTATCTATTATCAACCATGATATTTGGGTGTATAGGTTGTTAGCATGTGTAACTATATTATTAATTAATTGTAAATAGAAGTACCATTTTTATTTATTTATTTATGAGTTACAAAAAAAAAAAAAAAATCAAAAACTCCTACCATTTCCCATTTCAACAATTGTGTCTACGACCTACGTCGCTAATAAACCATAATATTTATTCAGTATTAATAACGAAAGAAGCTTTAAATAATGTATATAGAAACTTCTTTGTAGGCTCTAGATAATTTTAAAAATTCCAAGCATAAATCAATAAGTCTAAGTTTTAACGAACGAATATTTAGAAAAAAACATTTATACATAATTTTAAAATATTCTACAGATTTAAACACTTTTAGAACAACTAGCGCTATCTATGTTTTACTACTCAATACGATTAAAACCTTATAAGAATATAACCAACTGTTATTGTTAGATATATTATAATTGTATTGTTTTTAATTTTTTTAAGTCTTTATAATATTATGAGAAAATATGGGATAAGCAGTGGATTTAACAGTAGGTAGTCAAGTTCGAAAAAAAGAGGATTAGTTAGGTATATAATTAAAGATTTTATTAAAAGTACCAAATGCTTAATGTCTGTTTACATTCAAAAAATTGAACAAATATAATTACACTTATGGACTTAGAATAAGACTCTTATATGAGTTTACTGACAAACTTTTAAAATTTTTAGTCTCACTGATCAAGACATTCAATCAACTTTAAGTAATAAATGTTATAATATATTGTAGTACCTACCTGTATCATTTATTGAAGGTTCCGTCTTGATGTACTTGTTTTGATTGATGAACATATCTGAATTTTGGTTTAAACTTGGATTTAGCTGAGACACAGGATTCAAAAGTTTTTCTAAAACATACACAATACATATATTAATTTGATTTAAAATAAATTGATTATCATATTAATTAACAACTGTCTCAATAAAATTTAATTTTAAAAAACTGTACAATAATAATTCTAATAGGTATTTAGGTTAAATGTACCTAACTATTTACAATTTTTTAAAATTATTTAGTTCACAATAACTGAGCAGTGTAAATAACTATTTTTATCTACATATAACATTATATTTATAAAATAAAAATCTACCTATAAGTAGTCTAAAGCGAGTATCCAATTTTAATTAATAAAAGATAATATATTATTGCAATATACATTAATGTGAAAATGATAAATAATTATAGGTATGTAATTAAATGCATTAAACATCAAGTATTCAATTTAAGTTCAAAAATTATACATTTACTTAATAAACTATATTTTCTAACTATTAAATACCTACCTTTTATTTCAGAATAGGTAATTTATACAATGTCTTATTAAACATGCTTCTCCCGTTTTATCTTTTAATTACCTACCTGTGCATTTATTTAAGTTCTGATCTATATCCCTATTTTTAAATAGATACTAAAGATTTTTTATTATTTTAGCAATGTACTGTAGCAATGCAAACTTTTGTATTCCATTTTTTTCTGCTTTATCAAACAGATAATGTTTTTAAAAATGTTTATGTAGGTATGTAAATCAAATTTTGAAACAAATATTAACATAATTATTATTTATTTTACTTATATAGGTTCACAATAATATGTACTTAATGGATAAATATCATGTATCATTTTAATGAAATTAGATATGGTGATTTTAAAACTGCAATAGATAGGTAATATAATTTATGAATAATCTTTTATGGATGTGATTATTTGTGTTTATTTAGTATCTAGTCTAAATATAATATATATTTTATATTTTGCATAAAACCATTATATAGGATTATATGTCTATATTCTTTAATCCTGATAACATAAAGTTTAACAATTTAGAAAATAGGTAAGTAATCATACAAATTTTGAATTTGTTAACAGTTTACTCCATAAATTGCAGGATAAAAGAACTATTCTTATTCAAAAAAAAAGAAAGAAGTTTGTATCACTTCATAAAATTTTAAATTGTATAAGAATCTAATTAGGTACCTACCTATTTTAAAATCCAAAATATTGAATTTGAATAAATGCAATAGGTATAATAAATATAATTATCTTTTATTAATATATATTAAAGTTAGGCATGCACTTATACCTGATATTTTGAAGACTAATGATTGGAAATTAAATAATATTAAATACTTTTTAATTAATTAAATTATGTAGGTATTATAAAATGTTGTAATTAACTTAAATCACTGAAAAAAATGAGAAATTAATTAAAGCCACGTTTAAAATTCTTTTTTTAGTTATACATAGGTACATTACTACCTATAATAATTAATAATTTTGAAATTAAATAACTATTATAATGATATATTTAGACTGTTTGATGAATAATTCTTAATCTACCTATGTTTACTAAATTAATGGCAGATATAACAATTTAATAATGATTAGGACATATTATTATGTTAGGTATGCTATTACTATGATTATAATTATAAGTTAAGATCAAAGTTGACAGTTATGATGTATATTTTGGAATATTGAAACCATTAATAAATTTTAACATATTTATTTTATTAAAACTTATTATAATTCTGATCTGCAAACAAAATTTTAACAACAATTTTCAAAATTGTCATATAAACAACAATGTTTTCTTAATATTTATTAAATATATGTTATAGTAATAGGTAGATACCTAATTATTTTACATACATAAGTATTGATTATGTTTTTTGATAATCATCTCACATAAATGTTTGTATAATTGCTTTATTTTCTATATTATTCATATTAAACTTTTTTAATCATGAAATATTATTTTTAAGGATAGTCATGTAAGTTTAAACGTATAAGTTATCAATTCCACAAAAGTAAAAATAACAGACTAAATTAGGTACCAATACGAGTACATTTTATTGGAATTGAATACTTTTTTTATTAAAATGATAAACATATATTCACTGGCAAGTACATCGTAGATTTCAAACTGTAGATTTGAACTTTGAATTTTTTTATTAAAAATTACTTTTTTAATTTATAGGTACATATTACATAATCGTGTATTCGAGTATGTACCTGCAAGTAAAGGATTGGCAGTGGTTATATTGAATTTTTTGCCAGCATTTGTGCGTTGTAGTTCTTGAAGTAATGCAACAGCAGCATGGTTTTTGTTACCCGTTGACATAACATTGTTATTATTTTCTTCCTGTAATATTAAAAATATATTTGATATAAGTTTTTTATCATAAATATAAATTTAAATAATTGGCTTTATTAATTATGACATTTGATGGCATAAAAATAAAATATGATTTTAAATTTTACAATTTATAAAAATAGTCAATTGAAAAAGCCATATAAATTAATATAGGGAATAATATTGACAATGAGGAGAGACGAGAATAAATTTTATTATTTTAAAATCACTAAATTATTTATTAGAAGAGTAATGACATATTATGTAATGTAGGTAGGTATTGTACAATATAGCAAACCTGCTTTGTTAACTATGATTTAAAGTGAGTTGACTTATAATTAAACTTTAAGATAAGAATATAATCTGTTTGTAATCCAATATAAATTTTTAAACAAGTTATGAGTATTTTAAAATTTTAATATTTTACATACCTATTCATAGGTAGGTACTCATAACTTCCTTAAAATAATTGAAATATAATAAAAACCTGACCTACAACAGATGTAATACTTAATTTTTATTTGAATAATAAATTTTATATGAAAGTTAGTGCATAACATTTATACAGCATACATTTACTATACTTTATATTTATAAGACAGCACATGAGAGTTTAACAATTGGACATCATATTAATTATGAATGTTTTGTTTTCTGTATAATAAATCAAAATACTAGACTTGTATAATCTAAAATCTTTTGATGTGAAGAATATCAAATTTGTTAAATAGGTACATAAAGTTAAAAATATTTTACTAAATTAAATATTATAAGCATACAATTATACAAACTGTATTTAATAGTTAGGCGCTGAGTATAGATAATTTAAGATACACAAACAATAAAAATATAATATAGTTTTAATAATTGATAAACATTATTAATAGGTAGTAAAAAAAATGAATAATATTTTATAATATACAATTATAAACTTTAAATTTAATTTTTTTTTCTAATATTTTAGTAATATAATATAAATTATATAATTATTTGAGATAATGATTTAAAGTAAGGAGTAAATATAGGCAATTTCATGATTTTACTATTTTGTACTTTTAGTGTTGAAATATTATTACAATATAAAAAAAAAAAAAATATATTAGTAACGAAAATTTAAAATACCAAGAAAAGATAATATAAAGATTATAAAAAAGTTAAACAATAAGATATTAGTGAAGTAGGTAGATAGGATCAATCAATTCGTTAAGATATTAACACAATGATGATATAAACGAATATTTGACCGATTAAACCTAAATGAGTCGTTGTTTACCTTTATATCACAATTAACAAAATCGAAAAACTGTTCAAGTAACGCGGACGAGTCGGATAACTGCTTGAAAATATCATCATCGCCAGAGTGTTCACCGGCATCCTGGTTACCTGCTCCTCCTCCGTCCAAAGCATTGTCTAATTCACTAGATATTTCCGATTGGAGTAGTTCGCCGAGACTGGAAACTTCGTTACCCTAAAACAAACATGGACATTAAGCTAATACATCGATAACATCATCGTTCATCAGGTATATTATTATAATGGCGTTCGACTACTTACAAGACATTCGGTAAAATCGTCAATTTTCGTCTCGGCCTCTGGACACCAGAGTAACACATCGTCCATGAAAGGCATACCTGAACCTGAGATGGTCGATGTCTTGCCAGCAACTACTACACCAGCGGACAATGATTGGCCGGGTGGTGTGGGCTTCACAAAAGCCAGGATGATTATTAGTGAGTCGTGGACCCACGTCTCTTCGATATCTATAATTTAAATTACAATTTATTCAAATAAGCGATGAACCAATTAAATTGAATGAAAAATATAATACGATTGAGTATAAGAAAGTTTTGGTGTACAATTTATAAATGTTTTATATAATTTTACAATTTTTTAATGTACGACACTAATATTTTTAACAAATCTATTGATTTTTCTATTTTTTTTTTTATTCACTAAATTATTATTTATAAATATTATATTAGTAAAATAAATATAAATTCGTGGTATACATGTAGGTAATATAAAACATAATAGATCAATTTTATTAATACTTAAAAACATTTATTTACTATTATTTATTAGTAAACAATTAAATTATTTATAAAAAAACATGAAATTTACAAACAATCTGTGTGTTGTATAAAATTAGATGGGTTGTATGTAGTTATAAAACATTGCATACATATATTTTTTAATTTTCTACTGTCTATTATATAATACTAAATATTATAGGCGGTTTAATTTTTTTTTTTTTTTATGCTTTTTATACACAATACAAATATTGAACATGTTTGGTACTCAGTAGTATTTATCAATTTAATAATAACAGGAAATAAAAAAAAAATGAATACCTAATGTAGTTACGTTCAATTTGTTTAATTCCAAAACATGTTCATAGTTTTTAAATAAAACTGTAATTATTTGATCAACTGGACAATATAAAAGACCAACCTAAACATTCATTCAATACAAGATGAAATAGTCAATGCAAAAATTTCTATAATTTTTTTGATAAAATGCCTGTGGAAAATCACAACTATAAATATTTGCAAATATATTTTTTTAATTTTAAAAACACATTTAAAAAAATATTATCTAGGTACCTGTATATAGTTAATGAAAGTTATTATGAGTAGTAATAGTAGTATAACTTAATAAGCAAATTTTTGGTTTTATTTATTTTTAAAATTACTTTCATTGCAAAAAAATTATTTAAAAGTTAGTATTTATGAAATTATTTAAAAATTGTTTTAGTTTAAACTTAAACTATACGATTTGTAATATTGATGGAATATTCAGCCGTTTACCTTGGAATATTACCATACAAACATAATATTTTGGTATATTATAGTATATTATTATTTATTAGTTATTACCTACTAGCCACATCTCAATTAAATTTAAAAATATTAAAACTTTACGTTTAAGCATCTTTGGCTATAATTGATAAGCCACATACATGTTATAGACATAGTATAATCTAAAAAATATTTTTAAAAAATCCCATCTAGGAAATCATTACTAAATAATAACATTACAGATAAACATTATAATGTTTACAGTAAATTAATTTCTGATTTGCATAATTTCGAAGTTAACAATTCGATATATCCTTAAAAATAGTAATAACAATAAAATATGTAACTTTGGACCCGCTTGATTTTTATTTTTTTTTTTTAAATAACAAATTAAACCATACACATTTTATTTTTTAACAAATATTTAATTTTAATTACTGTCTAATCTATACCTACATTGGTTTGAAATTTTACTACAAAGAGTTTATTATGTTTGTGATTGCTCATACGATTTTAATTAAGTAATTTAATAGATAATTTATAGCAATATTAAGAAATTTAAACAAAATTGATGTATACTTATTTTTATGCTATAATCAAATTACACTTATTCATCAATCATTTGTAATATAAATAAAAATTTCAATGATAGCTGTTTACTTCATTTTTATTTAAAATATATTATAATGCACTGCAGATTATATACGATGCCCATGTCTATATTTTCATTGTTCAGCTTATTCGTATAGTATTGCTATAATTTTTTTTTTCTGAAACCGGTATCATGATATTTTTGTTCTCGCCTAATACAACCATAATTTTTATTTTGCATACATTAATGTTTGAGTTTATACAACAGTAATTTATTACTTATTACTTTCACGTAATACATATAAAACATTATAGTTACAAGATACATCAGGTACCGCTTTCGAAAAATAATTTACGTATTATTGTTTTAATATTAGTTTTTTATTTGAAAAGTTACTTTATTGATAAAATCTTACAACAATAATAATGTTAAAGCAATAAGGATATAAATACATTTTTTGATTGAATTTTAACGTTCGTAGGATTGATATCGTAATTTAGTTTTTTGTTTTTATTTAAATAAAAATCATATTTTCATTTATATGAACTGTTTTGCATTGTAGTTGTATCGATGCTAATTATTTGACACAAATCTTTCATAATATCATAATTAAATTTCAATGAAATACTCATGGATATTAGCCAAGAATATGAAACGCGTTAACCAATCCAACTGCTAAACAATATTGTAATTAGCGTCTATTACCGTTTGGCGTTTGCCAGAATGCAAATGTCCCTTTAAAAATTATGATCATGGTAATTGACAGGGTCGGTGTGTTTAAAACGTGTTTTAAAAAAAATATATATATTTTCTTTCGTGAAACGTTTCAAGGCTAATTTATATTAATTTATATTAGAATATTCTAACATATTCTATAGATATTTAAATCACAGACTAATATAGACGTATTAAAAGCGGTTTAATTTTACTTGAGTTTACAGTTTTATATGGATATAATTATCGACATTAACATAAATCTAAATATTTTGCCGCAAGTACCTATCAATAATTATAGTTTGTTGGTCAAATTTTCAGATGAAAAAGATCAGTAGAAAATATCAAATTCGAGAATGATGCGAATCGATATGAAATAATCAGATGTTAAATAATATATAAATTGTAGGTATATGTTACAATTAAAGATAATTTGATATTGTGAACAATCTTTGTATACATGAAATGTATCTAGCCGGGTAAATTTGTGGTAATCCAAAGATAGAATTTTTATGTATTATAAAATAGTTTTGTGATATTAACTATTTATGTTTATAACTCCATCGGTACAGACACTTCTATGCTATAATCTATAATAAAAAATGTTATAAATTAATTAATTTCTCACTTTATGCGATGTTCCACTTTCGTTTTTGTTCATTGTCTGCTAACGGAGGTTCGTTTCCATTTTTCTTTCAAATACATTTTCGTGTCTAAAATGAGAAAAAAAACGTAAATGTAATTTTTATCACTACAACGTGCTCTAATGGTCCATCATTGACGGACGTTTGCCTAAGACTGAAGTACCGAGCGCGTCGTATAGATCTCGCTCCTAGGTGTCTCCCCAAATACGTCAGTTGTGTTTTTATTTTCCATAACATTATTATTAACTGATAAATAGTTATCACTGTTATCAGTGTTTCAGTGTTATCACTTATCATCGGTCTGTTAAAAAAGTTATAATACGTTACGTTTATAATTTTTATTTTTTTTAAATTGTTTTAAAAAACGAATTAATATTAAATATTAATAACACGCTTCTGTCTACAATAAATTGCCATTTAAAACATTCGAAGTTTTATAATTTCCGTTTGACTGGTAAGTAAACACTTTTACACTACCTGTTGTTTATTGTTTGCATGCTTACATAATGTCTTTTTGGACAGATTTTACGTATCTTATTCTCAGATTCACATGCAATGTCATCTACCACCGACGAAGAATTAGACATGTTGTCGCCCTCATTCAATCCAATTAAAGCTCTGTACTCAAAAGATGTAAAGGTGCCTAGCACGACAGCTCAACCATTAGACAATATATCAAAATTTGAACTTACTCCTTCAGGAGATGTTTTAATCAAACCTGAAAGACCCAGAGTAATTTTAAATTGTATATTTAAGTCTTAACAAATTAGTATTCTTTTTAACTCTAGTATTTTATAGAGACTTAATGAATATGACACCAAACCAATAGAACGTGATTTAAGTGCTGGTAAGTTCTCAATAAATATTAATAATTATAAAATACTTAAGATATTTTTTTTCAGTGGCTGGCACGTCTCAAGTATCATTAGTTCAACGGAATATTAAACAGAGACGAACTGTTATGGCACGTATGTCAGAAATTGGTAAATCCCGTGGACCATTATCTCGTATTGCAACGTTTTGCCATAGAAAACAACGTGTCAAAGTTTATATACGATCAGCTGTGTCTGTTCGAGGCCACTGTGAAGGGTACATTATTGCTTTTGACAAACACTGGAACTTAGTGATGGACGACGTAGATGAAGTATGGACGAGAAAAAACAAATACAAATCATTAGCGTTTGGTAAGGTTTTCTTTTGTATACTACCTACATACTAAATATTCTATTAACTGCTTAAATTGTCATTTTTTTACTTTATATTGAATATTGAACCTTTCATATCTAAATTTAGCAAATTAATACTAAAATTACTTATAACCTACTATATTAAATTGTGGCAAAGTATTACCTCTCAAATAAATGCATAGTTAAACTAAAGTAAAAAAAAAAAAATAACTAAGACGTAAAATATAAATCTTAAATGGTTCGTAACAAATAAGGAAAACTTGTTAGTAATGTAATATGAATTAGTTAGGTAAAATTTAATATTACACTATACATGCTTTATGCACTAGCTTCTAAGTATTAATAGGAGAATAGTATCATATATAATTGAATGAAGAGTATAATTTTGTTTTAAAAATATTTATATATTAAATAGTTTATTGAGAAAATGTTTAGTTAATCTAAAAATAATAACACTAAAAATTTATACTAATTATAATTTTGATTAAACAAGGTTTTTCATATTTTTAGTATTTTGAAATTATTATTTTACACCATCAACATTTGGATTCTTTTATTTAAAGTATATCTAAAAAATGATAACAAAAGCTTGATTCTTAATTTTTATTCAAAATGATAAGTATTTAATTCCATTTCCATGATATATTGTATTATATTTATTAAAAATTGTTTAAAAATTAAAATTTTTTAAAATAATAAAATTGTTTTTTCTATTGTTATTGAATAAAAAATTAATTTTTGTTTCATATATTTTATAAACTTATTAACTTGATAATATTCTGCTATTTTACATTTGCTTATATTATTTAATTTTTATAAAATATAAATAAGTAATTTGGAAGTATTTTGGTACTGTATGAAAGTTATCAATAAACATTTGTTTACTTATAAATAGTATAAAATATGAATTTTAAACTTGTTCACCTAAATTCAGATCACTGCCCTATTGAGTTGACAAAAAAAAAAAAATAATAAAATTACCATTACAGTACTCTACTAGGGTATAATGCATTATTTATAATTTTTTATGTGCATACTTTTTTTTTTATAGTAGCTTCTATCTATATAGTGCATTTCAATTGAGTCGATTGTTTAACCTTTTGGTAACTTAATAGAATGCTTTAAACATTATCATTAACATTGATGACTTGCACTTGCTCAAATGACTAAGTAAATTAAAAATTTGTTATGATATTAATATTTAATAATAATAGTAATATAGTAGGTATTATACTTAAGTAGGATTTATTAGCTTGGAAATTTTGTTAAAATATGTTCACTGTTTACATTCTAAAAAAAAAAAAATGGTAATATACAACACCACATTTTCAATTTGAGTAGGTTGACATAATTACTGTGTTTGAAAGGTTGAAATTCATCTATATCCTGTGTAATGTACACATTTTTTTTTATAGTTATTATTATGTATGTATTTAATATTTATACATTTTACAATAAGACATATGTAGTTGTTAACGACATTCAATTGATATTGTATTACAAAAATATTACAAGCATATGGTCAGCAAAATATTATTTGTTGGTTTTATTTTTTATCAAGGTGATTTTTTCACTTTTTTTTTGTAATAGCAACATATTTTTTTATTGTATGTTAGGTATTTAATTAGAGAATATTTTTTGAAAGTGGGTAAATAAATTGAATATTAAACCAATATTGTTAATTATTTATAACTTTAAATGTTTATAAATAATTGTTTATAAGTTCATATAATATAATATTTATTTCATATATTATGAATAATATATAAAAGGGATTACTTATGAGAAAAATTAATTAATAATATATTTATAGATTATTTAATTTAAACAAAAAAACTACACTCACTAAAAAAACTGTCATGTGGTAAATGATCATTTTTTTTTTTAAATAAATTTTTTTATCGATTTTTATGTTATATCAATGCAGTTACTGTATTATAAAATTCAAATTTTAAGTAAAAAAAATTAAATTATCAAAATATCACCTGATACCTTACAGACACATTAATTCAAGCTAGGTTATACTTTTTATTTGATAATAAATACTAAATAGTAACGATATCGAAACGAGATTTCAGCTTAAAACGTTTCAAAGTCCGCGTGTTTAGTTGTGCAACTGTTTCTCTAATGTGTGTGGAGAATAAGTTTGTGTTTGTCCGTTCCGTTGTCGGTAGGCTTGTGAGGGAGGTATGGGTGGTACAATTTATTGTGTACGTTTACACTGCTACGTAAAAAAAAAGGTTAGAAATGTTAATGTTCGATGTTGGCGATCAGGACGATATTATGATGTGAGTTTTGTGCGCTATTGAACTTGAAGGCTATAAGCATAACATTAAGTGCGGCCCGCGGGGCTCGAACCCGTTCACAGAACGTCGTTAACATTGACGGTATGCAAGTGAGACGACTCTATAATATACGATCAATTCTTGATTGTATCAGTACAAATATCATACCATTATTTGCTTAACCGCACGATATCTACAAGGTAGCCGCGGCTGATGGTATACACATTATTATTATATCTATATTATTATAGTAACATATAATATTATTATTTATTTATTATAAGAACTTCACCGATTTCCGGTAAGATATTCCGTATTTGTGTAACTACTCATGAATATTATCTAAGCCAAATCCTGTGAAGGTAGTACGGGGAGGGGTTTCGAATAAATAGTGATAGAAATAATAATAATAATAATAATTGTTGTGACTTATGGGTGCCACGCGCAGTGATCCTCACTTCGGTCGTTATATTATATAGGTAATAATATAATATTATTTTATATGTTACATAAAACAATGTTGAACTATGTTTATTCGTTATTAGGCACTATAACTATAATCTCTAACTACCTAAATATGGTAGGTAGGTTGGTTGGTTCAGTAACGTAACCATACATTTCCTGAGGTGGATTATATTATATATATATATTATATTTTATACCTATTGGTAGGTAAATAATATTATTATTATTTATTTCCAACGCTCATTAATACCTTTATTAATATCAAAACATAAAATGTATCAATTTTTACTTTGATGCTCAAATATGGTTCTATAGTGAAAGAGCTTAGAACTGCAAAATAATTAGAGGTTATATCTGAATGACTTAAAAAAGGGCTATAGATTTAAAATATTTTTAAATTATTTATGTTATACTGTATGACAACGGTATAGGAAATAAGATACATAATGAGTAATGACTATTTTGTAGACATTTCTGAACGACGATCACGACTCCATTGATAAATATTATGGAATGTTTTTTTTTTTTTTTTTTAATTAAAATAATCATATAATATTTTATATTAATGTTATTATTTATTACTATATTATTGGTATTGCATACGGTGGTGATATTATCTGTTAATAATAGCTAAACCTCGAAGTATAATTTGTGGCCATTGACCATAAAAAAATGTATCAAATTTAAGACATAAGTCTTATTATAAATATCGTAAATAATATTATGTACATAATTATGTAAAATGAATGATTATTTATTTTTATAATATAAATACTTGATTTCTTGAACATATATTTAACACGCAAATCTTATATTTTATTTTTTTTTTAATCAAAACCGTCAAATTTTTTCTAGATAAATAATAATAATATATATGTACTATATGCGCGGATAAAGAAAGGCCTATTTTCTCCATATATTTTCAATGCTGTTTAGTAATAATAATAATATTAATAAATAATATTACTATCGCATAATATTTAATATTGGTGAATTCGCGTATCTCTGTTAGCAGCATATCATTTGTTTTTACATTTTGAATCAATCGATTTTTTTTTAACTCTTCGTAATAATTTTATAACATTGCATACAAAATTATCGTCTTACGCGTACCGTCTGTTTTTTGTTTATAAAATTGCTATTGAATCTAATATTTCGGAATGCTACGTCGGCGGTTATGTTATTATTGTAATGTGGTGTTTATTTGTAATGTACATCGTTGTGGAATTGCTAATTAAACAACAGCACACATACATGATATTATACAGAGTGGCCCATAGAGTTTCCTTATGTTAGTTAAATAAAAAACGCGAATTCATAGTAACTACCCTGTATAATGTATGCTACTACTTAAGTATAATAATAATATACGGTATGCATGTGCTGAGTATACACCTATATTTGGGTTTATTTTTGTGATGTTTTTTTATTATTTTGTTGTTACATGTGTACAACGCACACGCGATTTTTTAGAAATCCTTCGTCGACCTTGACATAGTGCGTAGGTTACGGGCGACGACGACGACAACGCGACAACGACGCGTGGTGGCGTTGTCTCGTGCATTATTTTACGTACAATATTATAATATTTCAAAACCGTTTGCCTGGCCAACGATTTTTTTTTCGGAACATTTTCACGGGCAAAATTATATTGTATAATTATTATTCCGTTTTGATGCGCAAATGCCCTGCGTACGTATAATATGTATATTAGTATAAATAATAAGTATATTATAATTGTTTTCGCAACGATTCCATCGTTTTGACGGCCGCAATCGTTAACCTTCCGCGGAATACCTTGACAGTGTTGGCTGGACAGTTTTGCTTTAATTACATATTATATACTGCAGTCGTAGTTTATTCGTATCCAGTTTGCGCAGTAGTCGACCTTAAAAACTGTAGGTGGTTTTTTTCCTACTTGTATCGTGTATGCTCGTTTGTTTTTTTTGCACTCGATACATGGTAATATAGTATGGCATTTTAAAACGACAGCGCAAACCTATTGCGTGATAGATTTTATTGTGTTTCAAAAAAAATGTTAACGTGTACCGCGTTATTTAACAATATTAATAATGTGATTTGTTTTCGTCCCATACAGGTGAAACGAGAAGTCTTGTCGATCCCGTGGAGAAACCGTACACAGTCGTCAAGAGAATTCGAGGACATCAAGTGTGTCGGAGGCACGTACCCCGTTTTTTGGTCCGTGGAGAGCAGATTGTTCTAGTGGCTAGTTTAAACAACGATACTATACGACGATATAATTATGTTTAATAAATGTATATATTTGCATACTGCATACAGTGTTTTAAATTAGAGTTTGGAACGACAGACAAAATAAATTCGACCAAAAAATTGTAAAATATATCTCTTTAGTTCTGGTGGAAAAAAAGAGATGATGACGATAAATCGTACACAGTTTGTAAATATTGTAAAGCAATAACGAAAAGAACGAAAATAAACGTATAATTTAAGAGATGTCACAATATCTAATTAAATGAAAATTTTTGAGTTTGCGCACTATTATTGTTTTTGTTGCAGTGTTGACGGAGAAAATGTCCCATCGGGGAAAGGGGGGTTATACGATAAAAACACTATAAAGTAAACCGCTTTTAATAATTATAGTATATAAATGACATGGTCGTCGGATCCCTATAATATATAGGCGGAAAATCGACTAACGGTACTTTCTCCACGCGCCGTAGAAGAAGAAAATAAACCAGAATCATATGCCCGTTGCTGCTCGTACACATTCTGCACAGTTGGGATTATTCGGTGACCGTCAGTGAAAGTAAACGCACTAAAACTTTCACCGGTTTCGGTCTTCTATAACTGGTGTGATATCATATTATTACTATTAATGTAACGGCATTCACGGTTTTCACACCAAGCGGCAAATATACACAATGCAATATAATATACATTTGCCGGATAACTGGAACGGGATTCAACTAAATATACATACCTACTGCCACTCGGTACCTTCAATGCGACCGTAGTGAATTGAAGGTACCTATTTGTTTTCCTACTAATTATTCGAAAACGAAATTTAATTAAGCGTATACACGGTGTGATGACTGCAAATATTCGTGACTATAATTATTTCTAAATATGACGTTTACATTTTTTTTTTCCCAAGAGATGATTTTTCACAATAGACACCATGAAAAACAATATTTACGAGAAACTGTTAATTCTTAAAAACGTTCGATTTCGATTTTCGATATTTATAACTGCGACAACTACATACTTAAGATACTGTTTACTGCAAAATGAATGTGAGGTATGCACGTATTGCACGTACCTGTGGCTATGAAATTGGTAGGAGGCCCTTTTCTTTAATATTAATTAATAACTTTGTAAGTAATATAAGTAATAGTACTTCAAAATTCAGCACATTAAACAAATTAAAAGTTTTATAATTGTTTTCATTTTAAGCTGAAGCTTATCTATGTCAATAGCTATAATCATAACCGTTTTATTTAACAATAGACAATTTTATGTACATAAGTAATTATACCAGTCGTAGTTATAGTTAAAGAGTAACTGATGAAAATAACCGTGGTTTAAATATTATAAATAGTTTATTATTATTGATTATTAGCTTATAACATTAGTAATAATTTAATATTAAAATAAAAATCGTTATAAAAAATAACCCTATTCATATATCACAATACGCTTATAGATGTATGAGGTACCTACCTAACACATACTCTATACTAACTAATATCTAAACACTTCACGCTATTCACATATTTTTCATATGAAATATTCAGCGCCTTTTTGTGATATTACTATGATTCCATTATATGATTTACTATTATAACCTCGCCATTGATTTAGATGAAATGATAAGTGCAGAGTTTATGCTCACAAAAGTCAAAACACGAGGAAAAGAGGATGTTTAATATAAGGCAAGTATTTGATCCTATGCATGTGTTTTGTTATCAACACTAAATGTTTTTATAAATGGTACCTATGATATTAAATTTGATTTGTAATTTATAAAATACTTAATAGGCACTAGTACTAAGGATTGCACGTTAAACATACTACCGTGTTAGATTATACAATACAGATAAATAAAAAGTTAAAAGTGCCTGAATATTTTTTTTAGATGTCCTTAAAATTGCAAGCTATTAAATTTATGTGGATGAAATCAAGGAAAATGACGTCTATGGCAAATCTGCTGCAAATGTATTTATTCGCATTATATGTATTATATAATAATTATGTATTCGCTACAGGGCTCGCAAACGTTATATTTGACAAGAAAACGATTGAAATTCGTAAACGTAATTAAAACGGAAAGCGATAAACATACACAATTAAATTACACAAAACTAAACGTAACGATTAACAAAATACGTGATATTATGTATATTATCCAACAAAACATAACGCAAAACGCTACATATTATTATAGTACCTATATCGTTAAACGAAATAATTAATTTCCAATTATTTAATAGTTAAAATGTATAAAATATATTAAAGATTTCAACTCTGAATAAAACGATAAACGCAAAAGCCGACTAACGTTTAAATTCTGATTAACGATAAATCCAAAATTTGTATGTCATTTTAATTGTGAATAACGTATAACAATTTTTCTCTTTATTTATTCTAATGCAAGCTCTGATTTTCGTAAACTTATTTACGAAAACACTAGTCAATAATATATTATGCTATCATCGAGCGTCGTGTCTGGGCCCACGAGCCGATTTATTCGGAATTATTAGCTTCTCCGTCGTATGATCGTCCCGAAATCGGAGCTTTACAATACGCATTATTCCGCGGTAGATGTTAATGTTTATAATATAATATAATAAAATAAAATAAATATTAAATAGTGAATGAGCCGAGTGCCGCACCGCGAATAATGGACGTTCTGAAATAAAAGAGGTACATATGATATAATATTTTTATAACGATGCCGGGGGTCCAATTAAGTTAATTGTACAAATGTACCTACGATATAGATTAGAACAATGCCGTATAGTTGCAGTTGTTTTTTTTAGTAAAATATTCTCTCACGCGCGCGCTCGTGATAAGTGTTGATGCCGCGATCCGGACGGGTCCGAAGAGCTTTTTTTTTTTTTTTACTCGGGTCCGTCGGTTGTGCGCGCGGAAGACGTTTCCCGTTAAAACGCCCGCCAGATGACCCGTGCGGCCCCCGACCAGACTATTATTGTTATCATCGTCGTCATCAGTATATAATATTAATATAATGAATAAAATACATACAATACGCATTATTGCGTTATCACATGTAGGCACAAGTCATATATATATAAGTATTATGTATACAGACCGATTGGTTTTTGTTGTTCGGGTGATTTGAAAAATCGTATCAGCAAAAATGAATATTTTTTTTTACAATCGGCTTTTAAACTATTTCAGGAGATCAAATATAACTTAAATTACTTATTGTTTTTATTTTTTTATTTTATGATCGTAGGTTAGGTATTTCAGTATAGTAACCTTTATTAGACAAATCACCAAAAGTCCATGGACAAACTTTGCTTGACACGTTGGCAAAATATTATTTATTTTTTTATGGTGAATTTAATTAGGTTCTCATTAGTTTTTATTTTGGTGAACTCTGATGCGCTATATTATAATATTATATTAAATGCATTGCAGGGAAGGTTTAAAGGATCACGATGAAAAAACTACCGTCTAATGCACATATAATTATAAAGCAGACGTGGTTTATTTCAAAAAAATTTCAAGAATTTGTCGTCGTGGTCGCGCGTTCAATTATAATATGTACATTGTACGCATTACACACATGTTATTAATTGTTAATATAATTATTATGCATTATAGGTTGGTATATAATATTACTTTAATTTAATCTCTATTTGTCTGGAGAACAATTACCTATTACAATATATCGTCGAGTGCGGGAGACCTGTGGGTCTATTCTGTGACCGTGGTTGACCTAAATTTGTGTAGATGTGGCAGCAATATTCTTATAATATTAAACCATTCGGTAGGTTACAAATTATGTAATATATAATATTATAATATGCTAATCGTTTGCAGGGAAGAAAAAAACGAGATCTCCTCCGTCAGGCAACTTGTTCAATTTTATGATAGATTTATTATGAAATCGAAGTAGGATTCGACGTTGCTTGTTTAACGGGCCGGCGGATCAGATTATTAAATCTATATTATTATAGTGTACTGTTGAAATTTTAATAGGTAAAAATTCGTCACGTGTTTTATTGCGCGAAAATTAGTAAAGAAAAATTAGAAAATAATATAAAAACCAAGAAAAACAGTTAGAAACGCACGCGCGTAATACCGCTTCTTCTTACAGCATCCCCAGCAAAAAATCCAACAAACGGCCTATAACGTATTATTTTTTTATTTTTTTTTCTCTCCGCGATATGCGTCACACGTAAACGAAATCAAAACAAATTTTACCGACTTTCTATGTAATGGCACACAATAATAACCACATATAGTATTTAGTTTTGCCTATATACTTTAACTATATCATTCTCGCTATTGATGGGTAATATTTAATGTATTAGTAATACATTAGTATATAATTAATATTTTATAGAAATTGGATTCAGATAACTTATAATTTTCTTGGGTACAAGACTGCGTATATTACGTATGTGTAAAATAATGAATTAGATATAAATAAAAAAAAAAAAAATGTTTTTATACTAATATTAGCTCTCGTCATTCTCATAGGATAAAGTTCGAGAATGCAAAGATTACATAATATGCCTAAACATTTAATCGCGAACATATCTGTTTGAAACTGCCGCTGCTGATTTCCAATAATTAGCCTTTCTCGATAACCCCCGACTATCTCCATCAACGTGTGTATTTTAAACTTATTCCGCACGTTCCTGCAACATCAATAATATGTCGGATGATGAACAATACCTTAGTGGGGTAATAACAATAGAATAATATTGTATTTTTTTATTGATTGGTATTATAATTATTATCTAACGATTAAGGGTTTGCAAGATGTTTCCATTTGTCTCGTAGCTAGGTATCTTATTAATTTCTTGTCCACCATAAGATAATATCATACGAACCAATTGAATAAACAATTATTGACGGAATAATTAATAATTAATAACAAATAACAACATCATGTAGGGTCCTTTGTGCGGTTTGAAGCGCTTCATACCGCTTTCGTTAAAAAAAAAAAAAATCAAACGTATTTTGTTCTCTGATCTAAAAGTAAACAACAATATATATTGAGTTGGTACTGACATCTCAAAAACAGTCTGTACTCTGTACGATGTGTTGATACG